GAGAGAGAGAGAGAGAGAGAGAGAGAGAAAGAGAATAATTATGAGAGAGGTCTAGAGAGAGAAAGAGAAGATGAGAGAGAGAGACAGAGAGAAAGAAAATATGAGAGATAGAAAGAGAGAGAAAGAGTATGAGAAAGAGAGAGAAAGACACAAAAAGAGAGACAGAAAAAGGAGAGGGAGAGAGAGAGGGAGAGAGAGGGAGAGAGCAATAAAACAGGGACGAAAAAGCAACCCGACGTACTCTGAAAGTTGATCTTGGTCCTGTCTAGCGGAGCGATGACCGTCTTAGCCAGAGCCCCGGCCATAGCGCCCGCGATGAGCGACGTCAGAACTTTGTGGTGGGCCGCCACCTGCCCGGGAAATACACAAATGTGTGACATCATGGTAAGTAAAAGCAAGCGCTTGTCAAAATAATAAAATAATAATATAATCAAATAATCAAATAATGAAATAATGAAATAATGAAATAATAAAATAATGAAATAAAAAAAATAACGAAATGATCAAATAATGAAATAAAAAAATAACGAAATGATCAAATAATAAAATAATGAAATAATAAAATAATGAAATAATAAAATAATAAGATAATAAATCGAAGAATTTACCCTTTTTCCACCAATGAAACAATTTCGATCAATTTCTTAATTTTTTTTTGGGGGGGGTCTAAACACCTTTTATGTCCATGTAAAAAAAACAACACATTCCTGTGTGGATTTTTACAGGAAAATCTTTGATCAGAGGCACAAAAAATGTAAGTAAGTAAGTAGTTTCCAAGGATACCCAAGCTCTAGTGGTCATCAAACTGGGGCAGCCATTTTTTTAAACCAGCTGAACCTTTATTAAGTAAATTATCTTACACTAATTTGTAATCTTTTCCAAGGGTAACTGTACAAAATCAAATTTCAAAAAATCAATTTTAACAAAAAAGAGTTTTACCTATTAACTTCACCAAATCAACTCTGACAAAACAACTACCGTAAAGTTCGGTCTATTGAGCGGAGCATCTGTCTATGTGAAACAGCGTGGTGAACTCAGGCGCTCGTCAAAATAATTAAAGTCAAGAGACTGGTATTTTTCCGCAGGATTGGGAATTTTTAATGAATTTTCTTATTTTGGCTCAATAAAAATTTAATGCCCTTTAAAGAACACATTTCCGTGTGGATTTTATTGAAAAATGTTGATTAAAGGCGTAAAAGATGAAAGTTTTCAGTTTCCACTGACTCTCAAGTTAAGGAAATAACTTAACTTTGGTGGCCATTTTCTTGCAAATTTTACCTTTGAAACCAGGAAACTCCCACCCCCTTCAATCGCCAATATCTCAACTTGTATCCAAGATAAGTAGGCCCTAGATATTTTTGTCCTCAAAATCATGGCAAATGGACAGGCTTTAAGATCATACCAATAACTCCATACGCCCCAAAATTGACGAGCGCCTGATTCCACCATGATGCCTCACAAATAAGCGGCATCCATTAAATTTTCAGGGTAAAAATCTGAACTTTTTTCCACAAAATCATAAGCCGCACTGGTTTAATAAGCTGAAGCAGATCACACAAGATGGATATATGTATGTAAGTACATCACAGCTATTCAGTGTCATCATCATCCTGTCTGCTGAATCCGCTAAATCCGCTAGATGCGCTGAATTCTTCCTCGGTGTTGCAGCTGAACGGATCAAGTAGTGGCTCATCATCGAAGGCATTTCCTCGCGTTTTTGGCATGCAGACGCTGTGTGCTTGAGAAAATGATCTGAGTGCTACAATGGGCGTGGCTTTGATTTAATAATAATAAATAAATAGCATTTGTATGGCGCATATCCCCGTTCGACAGCAGGCTCTATGCGCTTTACACACTATATTATTACCCCAGCAGACCATGGAACACTCAGAAACGTTCTCAGCTTCTTAAGAAGTATACAATGCAAATAGCCGATTAAGCGCTCGAACACTAACAAACTGACAAGATCTTTCACTGTCTTTTGCAGGGTTCCCATTCTCACCTAGGCGAGGTGAGGAAAATTCGCGTAAAGTGCCTTTCCCAAGGACACAACGTCGGTCCCTTGATGGGATTCGAACCCACAATCTTCCGGTTGCGAGTCTCAGAGCCTAACAACTAGGCCACTGACGCCACATTTAGAAGGTGAACAGTTAACATTTTGCGGCCAACACTTTAACATGGAGCATAAACGTGAATCGTGAACATAGAACTGAGAATAGACAAGGGAGTGATGCTCCTACAATCATGGAAATTTGCAAATAAATCGCATAGCTGTTGAAGCGGCAGGGTTTAAAGTTGAGGAAAAAAGTCACGGGGCTTACAGACCGAACTTGACGGTACAACCAAAGCAACTTTTACCAAATCATCTTTTACCAATTATCCTTACCAAATTCACAACCACCAAATTAATGTTTGTTCAAATCAACTTTCACCAAACTATTCTTTTAGCAAATTAACTTTCATCAAATTAATATTTAAAAAAAATTAACCTTCATCAAAACTACATTTTACCAAATTAACAACATTCATCAAACTACTTTTTACCAAATAACTTTCACCACAGTAATTTTTTTCCAAATCAACTTCCGCAAAAAACTAATTTATTGTTATCAATTATCAATTAAATCAAATAGAAAAACAAATGAAGAAGTCATGGTTGAAGCAAATTGCAGAAGACAGATAATGACGAGATTAAGAAAGCGACAGGCAAATTTCTTTGAACACAACGCGGAAAGAAGCATTGGAGAATATTGTAACAAGAGGCAAGTTTGACGGAAAGAGAGGCAGAGGCAGACAGAGGGAAAAGATACCGGACAAGATGACAACATGGCTAGGAGCAGCAAGAACAACAGACACCATTGCTGCAACGCAAGACAGAGTGAAGTGGAGGTCCATGATCGCCCACCCCAGTCGGCAAGGCACCGGATGATGATGAATGAACTGTCACCAAATGAACATAATATTTTGAAAAAATTAACCTTCATCAAACTACATTTTCCCAAATTAACATTCATCACACTACTTTTGACCAAATTATATCTTTCACCAAAGTAATTTTTTGTCCAAATCAACTTTCACAAAAAAACGAATTTATTGTTATCAATTTAACTGTTACCAGATGAACATTTACCTTTTCATTGACTTTGTGCTCCTCCTGATGGTAATGCTCCTCCTCCTGGTCATGAGGCTCCGCCCCTTCCTCCGCCCCTTCCGCCAATGTCTGGGCTGGCCCCGCCTTCCCGGCCCCTCCCCCTCCTCTCACAACTGCTGCCACTGGCATTGCTCTTGCCTGGGTTGAAAAAAAAAAAGAACTTACATAAACAACTGAGTACATGGAACAAACTTTATAAAGATGCATGACCTACAAAGATCTCTCTCACTCTCTCTATCTCTCTTTTTGTATCTCTCTCATATCTCTTTCTCTCTCTCTCTATCTTTTTATCTCTCTCATGTCTCTTTCTCTCTCTCTATCTTTGTATCTCTCTAAATATGTCTCTTTCTCTCTCTTGGTATCCCTCTGCTTGTCTCTCTTTCTGGCTCTCGTTTTATTTTTTTTCTCTCTCTTTCTATATATCTCTCTCTCTCTCTCTGTTCCCCCCC